GACGGCCCCTATCAATAACACAGTGAAGGCCAAGAAAACGAGGTGGGGGTCACCCCCCACAAGAGACAGTGCTTTGATGGCTTTGTAGCTGGGCTCCCGCTGCCGGCAGATGGGGATAGGAAAGGCAATGCTCACCAGTAAGGCCAGGGTGCTGACGAGTGAGTAGCCGTAGAAGTGTGCCACACCCCGGGGGCCATTTGTCATCAGGAAGCAGTCCAGCTGCCCCACCAAGGCTGTGATGCCACACACACCTGCTGACATCCCCAGCAACCTCCAGATCCACAGGCTTCTGTATCGGTCAGTGGCGTCCACAAAATCCAGGTATTCATAAAGGCTGTCATCTGCCACCTGCTCTAGAGGGGCTGTCAGCAGCTCCCAGAACACCAAGAACCCCAAGGAGAGGATGAAAGTCCACTGCAACCCTTCCAAGGAGAGGTCAAGGGCCTGGGCTTTCCTGCGGGCCACTGAAAAGTTGGCTGGACTTCCCAGCACTGTGACCCCGGGAAGCAAAGGGAAGGCAGTATTGACCACCTCAAAATCACCTTCCCAGGGATTATCTTTCACTCCTGAAGTCATAGGATGAAGGAGAACTTGGGACGAGGTCCTGGGTCCTTCAGTGGAGTCCCCTACGTAGCCTTGCGGGTCACGGAAAGTTTCTTGGTCACTATCACCAGGTCCATTTCTGAAGCCAGAGGGTTCTACAACTCCAGTATTCCTCTCGGCTGGAAGGCTGTGCGTCCCTGCTGGGCGATTTGAGGCAGACTCTTGGGACGAGGTGACGTTCACAGTTAGTGTGACCCCCAGTGGTAGGGCGGTGGTGGTCACACTCCTGCTTTCATTACAAGCGCCGTACACCAGATCTTTGTCCGACGGTGGGACCAGCACCATCAACAGGCTGGCTCCCACCGAGCCGAGCAGCGAGCCCATCAGAAGCACTCTCCTTTTCTGGTGTCTTTTGGCCAGGAAGGCACAGAAGGGAGCCCAGAAGGCTGCGATCAGGTGCTTGCTTCCCAGCAGGATGCCCACCCAGGGCGCGGTCAAGCCCAGCTGCCTCAGGTAGAGGGTCAGGAACGGGGTCACGCAGGCATCCTGGACCCCACACACCAGGTGGAAGAGCCTGGCCACCCCCAGAGCCCTGCTGATGTCCCACTGGGGGTTGGCGCTCATGGCTGTCCGGCTCCGTCACACCCGGGCCGGCGGAAGGCGGAGCTGGGCGCAGGCCGGGCGCGGGCCCATGGTCCGGGAGGGAGACTCGGAGCGAGCCAGGCAGCGCCTCCGACCTCGCGCGGCGCCGCGGTCACCGGGTCAACGGCAGACCCCCGCCCCCACGTCCGGCTGCCGGCCCGGAAGTGGCCCCGCACCGAGGAGGCGGGGCCTCGGGGCGGGGCCGACGCACCTCCCGCCTGCACCTGCCACGTCCTGGCGG